CTGGGTCTGCAGATCAAAGGTTAAACACTCAGGCTGGTGAGCAGCCAGGGCCGGGCAGCCCCCTAACAAGCCTGACCCTGATGCCCAGGGGGCAGCCTGGGAGGGTGGCCAGCTTGCTGGCAGAGGAAGTAGCCCTGGAGAGGACTCCCACCTCAGGCAGAGACCCTGCTCCATACCCCAGGGAGGCACTGTGTGCAGTGGCCGGGGTCTGGAGACCCTGCATAAGCCTGTGTGCAGGGCACAGCCAGCAGGGACCTGGCACTGTATGTGTACACCGTGAGGACGGAGCCCAAAGTGACCTTGAGGGGGAAAGGCCTGCTGCTGAGACGAGCGCACACTGATACCACGTGTGGGAAGTGTCACGATGTCCCCCACTGCAGTTGTGAGGACCCCCACAGACTGGAGGTGGAGGTGCCCTGGTGGAGGGGAGGGGCTTCAGATTTACTGATGTTTTATTTCTTAAACTGGATGGGGGCTCCCAGGTGCTCATTATCTATTATTTTTTGTATGCTGGAAACAATTAAAAATAAGTATAACTGCCAAACTCCCTCCACCTCCACCCCGGCTCCTCAGGAGAAAGCCCAAGCTCCTTGCCCGGTATTCAAGTCTCTTCCACGGCCTGGCCCTCGCCTTGACCTCTGCAGCCTCCCTCTGCCACACCTAGACCTTTGCTCCAGCTGCCAGGAACACCCCTCCCCTTCCCTACCTGGTCCTTCTGGCCAAGTCCATGTCCAGGGGAAGCTTCTAAGCAGTGGAGGAATGGGGTCAGATCTGAGTTTTAGAAAGAGGCCTCTGGGGCCCCAGCGACGAGGGCAGGTTTGGGGGGTTGGCAGGGAGGGGTGCAGAGAGCCGTGCCGGGCCAAGTGCACATGTGGCACGTACAGCAATGTTCTTTCATCCCCGCTCAGCCGGTGGCCATGGACACAGCTGTAATGTCATAGCTCCAGCCACTGAGGACTGGGGTGGGGGCAAAGGAGCAGCATGGCCAGAACCTTGGGCCACAGGTGGTCCACCTGGTCCACCTTCCTAGGCTGCCCGAAGGGTCTAAGGGGCTCCAAAGGCCGAATGCCGACCCCAGGACCTCCATTCACACTGCCCCCTCTACTGTACTCACAGGTGTCAGGAGGGAAAAGGTGGAAGGAACCATAGGGAAACTGAGGCCCCGAGAGGGTAGGAGGCTTGTGAAGTCTGGGTGGGGCAGAGGTGGCCTGGATTCCAGTGCTGTCTGCAGCCCCCCACCCCTGGCCGATCACCTAGCTTCTGTCCATCTGTGGTCCCCGTGGATGCCCTGAAAGAGGGCGTGGCCTGTACATTCTCAATGCACCGAGGTGGGGTGTCTCGTGGAGAGCGGCATCCCCCACGCGGCAGCCTGGTCAGGGTGCGCAGGAATACAGCCTGCGCTGGTGTGTCCTGGCCCCTCTCTGGGCCTCTGAGTCTCGTCTGTCTAGTAGGGCTGCCTGCCCCCCTCCCACGGTACAGGTGTGCCAGCAAACGGCTTGTATGTGCACGTGTGTACAGTGTATGTATGAGAGTGGCCGAGCATGGGGCAGGATGCAGGGGCCTGCCTGGTCTACTCAGGAGGCCCCAGGTGAGGCTGAGGTACAGGCAGGACCCCCAACCCCTGCCCTGACTGGCAGGGGGGCATGGAGCAGCTGGAGCAGGGCTGAGTGTGTGTGCAAGCTGGCCCCCCTCCCCTCTGAGCAGGGGCAGGAGGAAGTGCTTGGAGGCTGCCGCCTTTGCCCTGGGTGAGGGCTGGCATTTTGGAGAGCAAGCCAGGAGGAGGCCTGTACACTGTGGGGAGTTTCACCACGGTCGCCCTGGCTGCCTGGCCTGAGAATGTGGGGTGGGCATCTGGTGGAGGGGGCAGGCCATCACTGCCCCTTTCTGGGACTCGATGTTGTCATCTATAAAATAGTCCTAAAACTCCTGGCCTCTGGAGTGAGCTGTTGCTGGGTGCCGTCCAATCAATTTCAACTCATAGTGACAGGACAGAGTAGAGCTGCCCCTTAGGGTTTCCTAGGCTGTAATCTTTACAGGAGCAGATCGCCAGTCTTCCTCCCACAGAGCCGCTGGTGGTTTGGGGAACAGTGAATGCTTTGAGAATGAAAACCAGCCAGCCAGGCCCGGGTTCCAGAGGGAGCCTGGCCCCCGAAGTCATGACCCCCAGCCTTGGACCCCTTGTGGGGAGGCTGGGGCCCCAGGGCACCATGGATGTCTGCAGAACTCCAGGGGAAGGACCTGGCTTCCTCCCCGCTGCTCCTCCCTGGAGGTCCCTCTCCTTGAGCCTTGATTTGCCCCAGTAAAATGGGGGTCTCATTCTCACCTCTAGCGGTGGTCGTGAAAATGAAGGCAGGCGTGTTTACTCAATGGTGGGCCCATAGTAGGCTCTCAATAAATAAATGTCCCCAGTTGGCGTATCGAGGGTATTGCACCGGCCCTGGACACTTGGCACCGAGCAGTTTCTATTAGTCCGGTACACCCTAAAGTCCTTCCTCAAACACAGTAATGTGTTAATTAAAACATCAACAAGCTTGACTTGTATTTTTGAGCTGATATTATGGTAAAGTTATCTAAAAGAGGGGTGTCAGCTGTTCGGACAAGCGTACAATTTCAGTGCTTGCCACAGGCACTGCTTCCATAGACACGCCGCTGGCCGCACGCACTGGGTTAATAGAAACTGCTCAGTGGCGCCACGCGCCCAGGGCCGGTGCAATACCTGCCGTACCTGCCGTACCCTAGTTATGCCTCTGGCACCACTCCACTCATCCATCGATCCATCCATCCATCCCCTGGAGACTCAGCCTGGAGCAGGGGCTCGGCTGGCTGACCCTGGGCCGCCGAACCCCGTGGGAATCCTCAGGGGTCATGGATCCCCCGCCCCCACGTACAGATGGGACAACAACCCGGCCGAGGTCTTCTCCGAGGTCACAAGGTGGGGGGTCAGGAGGGAGGGAACCTGGGACACAACATGAAGAGAGACGAGAAAGTCACGTGCAGGGGAATGCCGGGGCGCCCGCGAACTCGCACCTAGACGGCGGCTCGGGCGCGATCCCGCGGGCAGCTGGCGCTTCCCCGCCCCCCGCCCCCCGCGCGCCCTCAAGTTTCTCCGAACTTTTCCACCGCCCGCTCGGCGCCCCGCCCGCCGCCGGTGACGTAACAATGGTGCAGCGTGACAGCCAATGGGCAGCGTCGGGGGCCGGCG